TGGTGTAGAGGTAAGTAGTGTACATTACATTTGGGGTACCCCTAGCATATCCCATATCATTAACATGCACTTGAGAGGGTGGAGTGGGCTTCGTCATAGTTGGGCCGAATATGAATCGAAACGAAATGGGCTGATTCCAAAGGAAGTCAGTGAGTTTAGGGATCTTACGAGGAACGGACGCGCCTCTTTAAAAGGTATCGTCCCCTTCTCCTCACCTCAACATCCATCCATCCATCCGCAGCTTCTTCTTCTTCTTCTTTCAAAATTCTGAATTTTCCAAAGCATTTTGATTCGATTGAAGGATGAAAAGTGATGATTTTGTTGATAGAATTGTGACGTCGATTCACGTCGTATGATCCATTCTATTTTTTCGTATCGCTACGTTCTTTCTGATTCTTCCTTCTTTCATTCATTTTCAATTTTTCCTCTTCTTCTTCTTTTATGTTTTGATTGATTTATTATTTGAATCGAGTTTTGATTCTTGTTTTTATTGTTTCTCTATAAATTAACTATGGGGATCATCAAGGATGATGAAATCAGAAAAATCTTAGGACACCTTCTGACGCAATTGCTGCGTATGAGAACATAAATATTTCTGATCTTGGTGACTCCTTTCTTATTATTTCGTACAATGATTTTTTTCATGGATTAAACATGGATTCTATGTTGGTTGTTTTTGTTTGATTCAAAATTCTTAGCACCAAAATTCAGATTTAAAAAAGTTTTGGTACACAATTTATGAGAAACATCGATTCTACGACGGTTGTTTTTGTTTGGTTCACATTGGCTGTCATCTCGAAAAGATGATAAAAACTAAGATAAATACTCGATATTTCATTTTAAGATTTCCTTTCATCGTTTCTTTTTTTGGAATTATAGAGAGTAGATATGATACTTCCTCTCTCACTAAATAAATTGCAATTGTTTCTGTCTCTCTTCTCAATAATTTTTGTCTATTTACTTGATTTTATTAAGTATTTTATAAAATAAAATATTTTTGTTATATTTTGTTTTGTAGAACTTTTGATGTAGTTTTTTAATATGTAATTTTTATATTTTATTGATATACTAATTTGTAAATAAGATATTTTAAAAAGTAGAAAATTTTACTCCGTAATCTCCAATTTGTAATCAATTTGTAATCAAATTGGGGACAGAAGGAGTATGAAAGTAAATTTAATAACGGACATATGAAAAAAATATTTTAATTGGAAATAATGTATTTTTTGAGAAAGATAAAAAATGAAAGTGAATATTTTTGATCAGCAGTACCTTCAAATATTTTATAATTTTCATTTTGTAATGATATTTGCACGGGTATGAGTGTAGTTTAATTACTAATTAGGAGGTACAATGCCAATTTTTGCCTTTGAAAATTATTTTATACTTCCTCCGTTTGGAAAAACTCTTTCCATTTGGATTTGGGGTAAAATAAGGAAGTGTTAAATTATAGTTGATTTCTAATTTTGATAGATAGATTATTATAGAAAAAGTATGATGTGATAAGTATGGTATGAAAAAGTAAGGGTAAAAGTGGTTTTTTAATAGAAAATGGAAGTGTTTTATTGGAAGTGAAAAAAATGAAAGAGGAAGTATTTTTGAGAACGGAGACAGTATATAATTTGGTATATCAATAATAAAATATTCTTTTTGCGTTTTTTAACATGTTATTACTATGTGCAAAATTGCATCCTCTTTTAAATGATTTTAGTAACAAATTGATATATAAATAAAAAGGAAAAATTATATATTTAAAAATTATAAGTGATGTTTTGAATAGTAAATTGGAAGATTTTAAGGAAATTCAGGTAATTATAATTATATTGAAAAATTAAATTAAAAAATTAATAAAATAAGAGATGATAAATATATTTTATCTTATTAAATATTTAATGAAAAATATATAAATAAATAAAATTTTATCAAAAGTTACTGCAAGGAAAGAAAAAAGTATAGTAAATTTTTCTTGGGATGGGGCAGTAAATTGGTGTCCATATTTTACATGTTTACAAGATTTTTTTTTGGTTTATAATTAAAAAAGTAATGGTATTTTGTCAATTTTGACCTTAAGAAACTTTAATTATTTATATGGTTCTTTATAATTAAGATTTATTCCCATGAATTTTTTTGTAAATAGTGTTTTTATATGATGATTTATGTAAACCGTCATTTTAGAGGTGGGGGTAAGGGTGGGGGTGGGGTGGGGGGTTTAGTGGGAGGGTTAGGGAGGGTAGGAACTGTCATTTTCACAAACGGAGTAATGATACCAGTAGCACTTGTGTCATTTTAGACTTACTCTAATTTAAAACATAGAAAAAAATTAAATTTCAAATCAAATAAATATATTTAATTAGAAAAATTATTTTGGAAAAGAGCTTCATTATAAATGAATATTTTAAGAATAAATTTACATTTGTGTAATATTATCTACGAAGAATCATCTTTAAATATGGAGTAAATTTTAATTATAGATGATTATGTATGTAATTAAAATTTTTTGAGGATTGATTTGGAAAAACATTTTATTACAAATAATTATTTTGATAATTTACTGTATTAAAATTAAAGAATTGAATAAAAAATGTACTAGTAAATCAATATCGAGATTATTTATTTATGTAAAATTAAATTGAACTTTAATTTGGTTATTTGGTTTTGGTAAAATTTGAATCTAACACATGTTTTTATTTTTGATTGAGTTAAGACATGTTTTCTGCGGTTGATTTTAATGATTTTGATTGATTTGAATAAGTGTATTTGAATTTATTAAAAGCTCTTTTTAATGTGATTGGGTCAAAAATAGCTTTTTAAAGCTATATTTCGGCCAGTGATCAATGAAGATATTAGCCTTTTAAAGCTATTGAGGAGAACCTTTATTAAATGGTCAATGAAGATATATATAAATAAAAGTTATCCTATGGTAATACCAATTTTCAAAAATATTATCGGTTCATGAAGATTTAGAAAGAACAATTAAAGTAAAAATAATTGGTACATTAATGTGTTTTTTTGTTCAACCGAATTTATTGGTAGTGGTACGGTTTGTATTTTGATTCTTATGCTTAAAAATTTGTCATGCATATTATTTTGGTTTGGGATCATGTTAAAATTTGGAAATGGTAAGTCAAAAAGGTGCAAAGAATTAAAATGTTGAAATGGTAATTAACACTAAAAACATAATATATATCTATAAATTAAGATGTAATGTGTATAAAATTAAAAAGGGTAACTAAATATTGAAAAATATTAATCACTATAAGGAATAGAATAAGGAAAAAAATTGTCATATACACATTGTAATTTTAAAAAAGATCTGAAAAGGAAATTATAATAAGCAAAAAAACATTTCATAGTATAAGTAGGATCAAATTCAAATACTTTCGCAACTATATGTTGTTTATTCAGGACTAATAAATTGTAATGACTTGAAGATTCTGATATGCAACGAATACAATTTTTCACAAATTATACATATAATGTAGTTTATAAAGCAGTCTTTCAAAATTAGTAAAGTAAAAAAATTTATACCTTAAAATAATAAAATGTTTGTATTCTATTAGATTTTTCTATCATTCAGAAATAATCTTAATTTAGTAACGTAAATATAACTTGTGTAATGTTCATGTGCGAGTCAAACTGGACAAACTTTGAATTTCAGTTAATCTCAATTTATATTGTATATTAGCACAATAAAATACAATTTTAAAAGTTTTCAATACGATAAATTCAATAAAGTCATTTTTATATTAAAATACGTTACAATTTTTATTTATTTGAAGCTCAAAGTTTGTCCAGTTTGACTCGAAAAAATCAAACTAGGCAAACACATTGGGACAGAGAAAGTATTAATTTGTTTATGTTAGAATCTATCCAACATTGAAATTTGAAGAGAAATGCAATTAATATATTAGTATTTGAGTTAGGTTAAGTAGTCGATTTAATTTAATTTTTTAAATGTGATTCAAACCGAGTGACTTATGGCCTAACTGCTGATCCCAAAGATCAAAAAGACATTTCTCTATTGTCGTCAATGCATTAAAATCCACTGCTTGTTGTAAATATTACAGCCCGCTACAATCTACTTGCGCCAATCATCTACATCGTAATGCAGCCCTGTAACACATTATCCCCCATTAAATTTAACCAACACATTAGCCTATTTAATCAATTGAGATACAAAGAGTTGAGAACAATTTAAATTAGGCGTGAATAACATCATTTAATATCAGAGACTCATTCAATCGGGTGCTTCTCACGGTGGTAGTGGCAACCTGTTTTCCATACGCCAAACAAATCCAACGGTCCGTGCCTCGTTTAACCCGATTGTTCGTCTGAAAGTCTGTACCAACGACTTTAAGTGTTGGCGTTCAAAAAATCAAGGGATGCAAATCCATTTACAAGTGGTCAACTAATTAGACAGAAAATGACTCGGTTATCTATTTGAGAGAGTGTGTGTTAATCGCATATGAAAGTTGAAGAAAAAAATAATCGGTATATAAACTCTTAAGTTGAACTAATTAATTGATTGTATTCAATCTTTTAATGTTGTTCAATCTAAGTGTCTTATGTCCCAATCTAATAACTCTTACCTCATCTTGAATTTTATGAATTTACAAAATTTTGTTTTCAAAAAAGTAATTTAATAAAAATAGATCATGACTCAACCAATCCGTTTGAAATAAGTTGGGTTGGTAGTGGTGTCACCCCCATGCCTTTGGAAGAACATACATTCAAAAGTATGACCACCTCACAGCTTTCTTCCCAAACTTTCTCTCCTTGTGACCCCATTTGTTGTTTGCAAGTAAACCTTATTACATACACCAAAGAGACATAAGAAGACACACGCCAATGATGAAATGAAACACAACAGATCCCATTCTGCATAAATTTCATCCTTTTTTTTACAAACTGGTTTTGGAAGTTTCTGAATCCCAAAACAAAACAAAAAAAAAACTATAAAAAAAATACAATGTGGTATAAAACTATACCCTATAAATACACAAACGTATCTTTCTTTCTTCTTCTTCTTCTTTGATTTACCGTGTTTGGGAGCACAAAACCTTCAAATGGTCCTTCTGAGTACGGAGGACCCCATGAAGCTTTGCTAGCCTACAAGAGTGCTCCGTAATCAGCTTGTAGGTCGATGGCCTTTCCCAAGGGACAATCCCATAATCGTCGTTGTACTCTTCCATCCCTTCGACTATGAACTGCCAGAAAAATGACCCCGCCCCCGACATGTTTTTGCTTGCGGATTTGTATATGTAGTCGAGGACAACCTTGAAAAACGTGTCCCGTTTGGAGTGGTCAAACTCTTTGTTTTTGGTTGACAGCCCGAATTCGGTGAACACCACGGGCTTTTTAAGAACCTTGTCGCCGTCGTGGATGTGAGAGATCATCCATTTGCTCACAAAGTTCACTTTATCTTCAAATGTGTGGTTGTGTAACCTGCCAAAAAAGATTCAGCAAAGATAAGGGACCAAAAGTGTTGCTTTTCCTAACAGAGGGACTAATTAAAGCTTTTATTTCCCCATAGTTGAGGGACCAAAAGTGTTGCTTTTCCTTCAAAAACAAACATGAAAGCTTGAGAAAGTTTAAGGTGGAAGTGAAATAGTAAAGATTACCACTGATCTGGATAGACGTGAACAGAGGCGAAATCCACAGTTGCAGGCTGCGAGTTGCGAATGAAGTCTAACCCAAGATTGGAAGTCCAAAATTCGGGATTGAAGCCCAACTTTTTTGGACTTTTTGGGCCGTAGAATCCTTCAAGTCCCACAGTAAGCAAATGATTCCTGTCAATTGATTTCACAAAAGATGACATTTCTTCTATCCAGTCCTGCAATTCTATGACCTCCCATTAATAGACAAATTCCATGCATTCATCTTTCAAAGAAGAAAAGAGATCACCAACAATTACTCTATTTTCTTTCCCAGTATTTTCCATGATCTGAAGTGTTTATCGTAAAATGAGTTGGTTATTAAATGTGCATGATGCCAAAAGAGTTGTAAAATTATGTTATGGAGTGAAAAGACCAGTTGCAAGATATTGGACTTGTCCCCCATCGGCTGTATGGGCAAACAAATGAGCAGTTTATAGACCAAATGGGCTCTTTTGGGATGAGTTTTCCTGTTTTGTTTGTTCTGTAACATGTAGTCTTGTATCTGAAATCTCATCTGGTTGTAAAGAGTATGGGGGAAGAAAAAAAACTTACTTGGAGGGTATTACCAGAAGGGTCTGACATGCACCGAGGTTCATTAATCAATTCCCAGCCAAAGATTGTGGGGTCATCCCTGTACTCAATGCCTGTTACTGTGTTCTTCCTTGTTAGCACCGTCTGCAACAGAGAAAAGGAATTTTGAGGGCTTGATGGTCGACTATATGGGAAGAGAATTATAGGGCATAAAGGGATGGTTGTGTATATTAACAACATAAAATCAGATTCATATTCATGTGTTTACCTGTGGTATAAAAAAGAAAATCAAGGCCAGTTACAGAGTGTTACTTTTCCTTAGTTGGAATAACAAATGCCAGATGCAAACATATGATACAAAAAACAATGTAAAAAAACTGTGATCATGTAAGTTGAAGAGTGGCACACGTGAGTTATGTATGAATGAATAAAATTCTTGATAAGTATTTGTCAATCTTAACTTATGGTAAAAAACAATGCAATGATCTAAAAATTGAGCCCGGTTCTTTTGACACCAAGGTTGGATGTCATATTATGACTCCGTCCATTTGAGCACCTACGGTGCTCCATTGGACCCCAAAGTAGTTCCTAACCCCTACCCCCCATAACCTATGCCCGCCTCTCACCCACTATACTAGTCATGAGCCGCACTTCCTCTATTTTTTTGTTTTGCTGAAGCGGGCAGAGGAATTGGGTGGTAGGAATACCTTTGGGAACCAACAAAAGAACCTTGGTGCTAAAAATAATAATTTGGGGGAGTTATGGGCCCGGTTTCATAATATGACATGCAACCTTGGACGCATAAGAGCTTAGGTGCAAAAATTTTTAGTCAAATAGTGTGGATCAATTTCTTTCTAAGATTGATTTAAATGTCTAGAAATGATTCTCTACGTAGATAGATTATGATTTTGAATAGGGTAAGGATTCTTAAGGGACTCGTATAAAAACAAAAAAAACATTATTACATGCTAATCAAATATGAATTTTATAAGCAAATTTGGCGCTTCCTCGTTATGCTGGACACAATATTTTAAGAAACCAGTTACGATGAAAAGCTCGAAAGAAATGAGTGATTACCTTGACATAGTTCTTGAAATAAAGGCGAATACTTGGATCATAGAAGAACGAGTCATTAGAATGACTTAAAGCAACGCCCTCCTCCCACGCCCACTTCACGTACTGATTTTTCCCACCATACGCTTGCAAATTATTTACCAAACTTAGTAACAGCCTTATCCCATTCCTCCTAGCTTCTGCAACTACATGGTCTAGCCCCTGCAAAGGGGAAAAAAGACTATGAACAATGGCCTTGTTTGGGAACTAACATTTTCAATTAGTATTAGGTCCCGTTTGGTACACGGAATTCAAACTTTGGAATTGGAATTGAGGACTTCAATTCCAATTCTCATGTTTGGTAGCACAAAAATTATGTGGATTTGGAATTGATAGTGCAAAAAATGATTTGGAATTGGTGAATTCAATTCCATGGAATTGAATCCCATGGAATTTTAATTCCATCAATTCCGTGTACCAAACGGACCCTTAGTGTCTTGGATAATCCTTTAATAATGCAAATTAACTTTTAAAATGCTAAAGCTAAACGTTGATGTTAGATAGCCTTTTCAGAAAGCTAAAGCTAAATGTTAAAGTTGTTGCCAAACGGGCACAATGTCTACTAACGTGAAAAAGCATTCCCATTTTGGTTATAATGCAATGACAGCTTTAAGAAGATTGACATCAGCTGAGTCTTGATTGGGAAAATAATGAATAAGAAATTTTTGAGCATATGGTAAGATCATTAATGTGAAAGGCGTGTTGAATACATTAGTCATCACCATTATTGCCGTAAAGGCCGGCTTGGCAAAGTTTTTTCGGGTGAAATGGCTCAACCTAATTTTCCGAAATGAAAATCAATTGGTATAATCCATTTGAACCAAATAAGTTACTCAAAACCTACGGAGTACTTATTTTGATGCTGATATGTGTAACAAGCCGACAAAAAAAACAGTTGCCAAACCAAATTTATAGTGTCATTATATTAATACCAATCAACCCCCGTTTGGCATTGTTTGGTTTCAACGTTTTCAAATTTAATCTTCACCATTAAAAAATTATCAAAAACGCTAACGTGGATACCTAACAAAGCATCAATGAAGGGAGAGAGGGAGAGACTGAGTAAATATGCTTACTCTAAACACTCGTTCATCAAATCTCCCGGGAGAAATCTGCAGAGCATTGTAATCTCCATCATTGAAGGCCCAAGCTCTGCACACAGTGAGGCCCATCTTAGCACCAGCTTGCAAGATAGATCTAACCCTTGGTCTTCTATTCGCATCCACAGCATGATCCATTAACCAATAAGAGTTCCATCCATTCACATAGAACACTTGACCGTCCGTGAAGAACCGGGTACCATTCCTCTCCACAAAGCTCAAATTTGTTTGTCCATGGAAATTCATCCAAAGATCTCCAAAGAACAGATACATAAAAACAGCGCATGATGCAAATCCAATAATTGGATACAACATACCATTTCCTCTCACCAGTTTGCTTCTAGGAGATTTGACCACCATTTTTACCAGAAAAAAAAACAAAATCTGTAAAAAAATAACTACCCTTTTCTGCTCCACAGATCAAGAAACTACAGAAACCGATGATGATGGAATACCAAGAATGAATCTTTTGTGGGTTCCAAATATTTTGGAGTGTCAGATGCTAAAGACATCAACTTGGCAACACAATCTGCATACCCACAGGTGGCCAAAACATAAAGAAAACATCAATGGAGATTCAAAACCCAGAATTTAGGTGGTTTGGGGCTTCTGGGTATATGGGGTTTCATCCCATTCAGTGCAGAATACGCAGATGAATGGGAGCAAATGGTTATTGGGAACAAGAAAGCACACAAACGTGTGCCCAGTGAGAAATAAGGTGAAATCTTGGAATGAGGAAGAAGTTGGGGTCGTTAGTGGTGTGGTGGAGCGTTGATTTTCCTACTTGGATCTGGAATCTCGTTTGCTTCCTGTTCCTCTCGATTTCATTTTACTTTCCCTTTTTGAGGCTTCTTTTTTCTTTGCAGGGGCCGGCTATCAGTCTATCACCACATTCATATTAATGGCTGTTTCACGCAAAGTAGAAAAGTAGGTTGATTGAGGAGCAAAACATATAATTTTGATACTCTTTTTGTTACTTCATCCCTCCCAAAACTATTTTATGTTTTTCTTGGTCAAAAATTTTTAATTTGGACCACAAAACATAGATTTATTTTGAAATAAAGTTTAAAAAAATCAATTTTTTGTAATATAAAATTATATATAAATAGAAATATTAAGAATTAAAGTACTGCATTGTAAATCGTAAGAAGTCAAACAAGAAAATAATTTTAAGACATAAGGAGTAGAATATTTATTTTATCTTTGGTGACATTGACGAAGAATTTAGATATCTACAGTATTCAAGAGATATCAATATAGAGATTTAATACCTCTATCACTGTCGATTGCCGTCATTAGTTACCATTTTCATCGTCAATCACCTTGGCATATCATTAAAATTCATTTTCAAATCTCTTCTTAATACTTTTTTTTCAAATTAAGAACTCACATCATTTCTCCAAAATCTTTTATTTCATATGATATTATTCCTTCAAAACTCATCAAAGAGTTCGTATTCTCTATTCATAATTGTTTTTATATTTTCAATTAACTTATCATTTCAAATTATTTGTTTAATAGTGTAGATTAATTTTTAAATATTTAAAATCAAATGTTATCGTTAGATAATGCAAAATCACCAAAACCAAAAATTAAACCAGCTGCCAAAGAGCACTTAAATTATTTTTAATTCTACAATGTACTTGAATTGGTATTAATCTTTTTGTCTAACTAAATTTTCCAAGTGATTTTTATAGAAAATATTATATGGTCCAAAATATTCCTTTCTTCTAGATAAATTCTAACTATTTACATTAATGACTTTGAAGCATTTTTCTTAATCCAAGTGCAATTAAAGTGAAAAAATTAATTTGTACCAAATGAGGTATATTGTTGTAAAATTGGAAAAAGTATAATACTCTACTTATAAATTTAAAACAAATTTTACTAATAATAGACATTAAGATCTATCAATGAGGATCATTCGTTATACAGGAGCATTTATAAATTAAGATGAACTTTTATTATTACTATTTTCCTATTATAATGTACTATTTGTCTGTACATAAAAAAAATTGATGCTCCTAAATTCAAACCTCCAATATAGGGAGCAAACAATTATACATCGGCTTTGGCAAATTTCATAGAAAAATATTTATCTATATTTGGTTGAAAAATAATTATGCGTGTGGTTTTTAAATTCGTACTCATTTTATAGATTTTAATACATAAATCCGATGAAAGGATTAGACTTTTTCTAAAAATAAAATCCACTTGTAAAACTATAAAAATGTAAAAAAAAAATCTACATTTCATATGCCTATGCTAAAACAACTGGTGCAAAATTCTATTTCCGAGAGCTTCCTTGTTTTGTTGTTCAATTTTTAATTTAATTTATGTAATACTTTGGGTGATTTTGAAAAAATAAAAATTTGTATGTAATTAAAACTATATACTCCGTAAAAAATATAGAAAACAAAAATATATACTCTTTATCATATGAGTCATAAAAATAAGCAAAGAAAGATTAATATTCCGTATTTTTTGGGGTAAAGTGCCTATAAAATCCCTATATTTTTTCAAAAATATTTCCCAAGTTCTAAAATTATTTTAAGTGCGTAAATGTCCATATATTTTTTAAAAGGGCTCCACGAATCCCTAAATTTTTTTTAGTATATATCCGATCTCTATTCTTTATTACTAGTGCGTTAGTGATCCCTTCTGTGGCCTTTTTCAAACCAAATCTCCAAAAATTGTTATAAGAATTAACATTATAACATAAATTTTTGAAGAGCTTGTATACTTTGCTCAAACAATTTTGACACAATAGTTAAAGAGTATATGACCCCGTAAGAACTAAAAATAATTTATAGACCTATAGTATTTAAAACAATTCAAAAAATTTCAAAAACTATAAGTACCATATTTTTTTAAACAGAGATAATATAGACTTAATAAAAACATTGCTTAGTCCATTTGAGGACGAGAAACATGAGTCCTTAAATTGCTACTTCCTCCGTCCGGAAATATTTTCTCGCGTTGACTTGGCACGCTTATTAAGTAATAGTAAAAAAATACAAAATTTTCAAAAATACACATAATATAAACTTTTAAATCTCTTTTTCTTATTAAAAAGTAGATTAGTAATAAAATAGAAGGGTATTATTAAAATTTATCCTTAAAAAATACACTAAAAAAAGAAATGAGAAGAATATTTCCGCACGGACCAAAAAAGAAAATGGAAAGAATATTTCCGGACAGAGGGAATAATAAACTTGAGGGCTTATTGATTTAACTCCAAAAAAAATTAAACATATGGAGGCACTATAATTTATTTTGAGGTGGAAACCAATAGGTTTAGTAGTTTGATGTTTAATCATTTTCCAAGCTCATAAAGTCCACAAAATCAACAAGTAAAAAATATCACAATATCACAAGACATACACAAACAAACTTCAATACCCACCAAAATCACATTTGATAATGGTAAACACAATTGGAACCAAAGTGTTTAAACTCCATAGCAATAATTACCACATTCAAACAAAACAGAGAGTCCAATTCAATTCCATTGGCAATTTCAACTGCACAAGAGAAGGGATTATGAACTCACAATCATATATAGTACCTACATTAACCTAAGTTCACCTCGACAAATCATCAAACACTTTCAAGGCAACTCCCGTTTAGACAATCTCGGAGAAGATCTCTTCTGGCTTGGGGAAGCCGGTCCTGTTTCCTTAGCCGATTTGATTCCTTTCTTCAGCCTCTTAAATCCCTGAGGCTTCTCCTTGGCCACAACCACCGCCTCCACCGCCACTTTCTCGGCCTTTCGGCCTCTGGTCTGCACACCCACTTTCTCTTTTGCCTCGACTTCCTGGGCTACCCGGTCAAAGTCATCCCCTAATTTCCTGGCCGGGAAGCTTCCATCTTCTGCCTCGTCAATGAACCGGCGCTTTCGCTTGGTGGCAATGGGAGCAGGCGGAGGTGAAGGGGTGCTGAAGACAGGGGAGGAGGATTTCTTGAGGATTTTCCTGTCCTGCCTCTCTTCCTCCGCCCGTATCTTGTTCAAATTGCCTTCGATCTTGCCCTGGAGGCGGTGGCGCGTGAGGCTCAGGCCGCCCATGGACCAGTGGGCCTCCTCGGCCCAGGACATCAGGGGATCGGAGACGGGGACCGGCGGGTCGACTCTGTGGTCGTTGAACTTCACGTCCTCGTAGATCCGCGGCCTGGGGAGGCTCTTGCCGTAGAATCTGCCCGGACCTAACGCTATGACCATGTCGTTGAGCGGCGGATCCGGATCGGCGGGATCCAATTCGGAAAGAAGAAAAAGAGAAACGGCTGATCGGCGGGATCCGATTCGTAAAGAAGAAAAGAAAAAAGCGCCGGCGAAAACAACACAGGTGGTATGGAAAATCGTGAAAGCGCTATATATTGGTATGAGATCTGATCGATCTCTTTAAGGATTGGAGGGAAAACATGGCGGGAAATAGTGCCGCCATAAACGTCCCGCGTATATTTTAAGGCAAAGTGACATTCGAAACTGGAAAGCGCCTAACAAGAGTAACAACCCATTTTATATTGTTTCTTTTGAATTTCGGACATATTTAAAGAAAGAAAAAAATATTATTGAATTTAAGGCGATGAATGAGGGGATAAAGTAGAAATAATTGATTTATTTTAAGAATAATTTAAATATTTTATTTTAAAAGTTTATTATATTAAGAATTAGACAAGTTATTTTGAAACAAATAAAAATGAAAAACAAGTAACTTAAAGTGTGACGAAGGGAATATTTTTTATCAAACTAATGCTTGAATGACTAGAACCATGACTCTCCATTCAAATTGATGATGCATGATGTTGCTATTGATGATAGATGACCCTCCATTCAAATTGATTTTGCATATTCTAATATTTATGGCTAAATAAATATTTAAATTGTAAAAAATTAAAGTATTTAGTTTTTTATTTGTTATGCACACGAAGTGTTTAAGAAAATGGCTAAAAGACCAGCCATCTCTCTTTGAGTTGTGTGATAGAGCCTGGGTAATATAGTACTAATATGGATCAGGTCTTCTTTTACTTTTTATGTGGTTATTTAGTAATTTCTTCAGTCCTAAACTCCAAATTTAAAGTTCGTATTTTGACTTTGTATAAGGTTTAAAAGATTAAAATTATATAATTGAAAGTAATGTAGATGAAAGAAACAAAATGTGACAAGCCAAAAAAACTTTCCAAAAATAGAAAGAAGAAAATTAATTTCAGACAATCCAAAAAAATTAAAGGAGATTGTTTTCGGACGATAGACTAATAAATTGGTCATATTTTATTTTTCGTGTGTCATTTCTTTTTCATAAGTCGCAAAATTCTCTTGTTCATAGTACTTAAATCTCTTTAATGTCTTCATTAGAGTATGTGTTTCTTAATTTAGGTCTGCATTCTGGTCTCTAATCAAGACCACACATTCAATATGCATATTAGATTTATCTTTACGAGATTTATTTAAAGCTATTTTATTGGATATCAAAAATCTTCAATTTTTCCAAAGGCCCAACAATAATTTTATTTAATCAATTTTTTAATTGAATAATTATTCAATAATACTTATAGGGTGTGCTTTGGGGCGTTACACGTTTTCTCATTGTGTTTATATGTTTTTTTCCCGAAAAAAATTAAAATACTCCATATAAAATTTTATAAAAGAATGTGTCTTGTTACTACAAATATAAAATATAAAATTGCATAAAATAAAAATTAAAAAAAGCATTACAATATAAAATTATATAAGTAGACATAATTGGAAATTGAATGCTTTTAACAGTTCGGGAGTATTGATCTTTTACTACAAAATAATTGTAACTAATTTTTTTCAAAAAATAATTATTGTTGATTACACATGTTTGATTTTCTATTAGATGAATGAAGTTGAAAGTCTCGAGAGTAAATTTGAGAATTCAAAAACCTATTTTCATACTTTTTCCTATTTTCTGTCTATCCCAATGGTAAAGTTTATAGAAAAGAGTCTTCAGACACTGTTCAGACTATCATTGGAGATGCACTTAGTGATACTCTAATACTTCTTCCATTTTAATTTAAGTTTGTTTACTATTCACATGGTGAAACTTTAACCACGTTCTTTATTCATTTTTGTTACCCATTTAAAAAAATAATACTCGGTATGTTCTTCTCATTTTGTAAAATTTTTGATGTAGTTTTTAAACGAGTAAATTCTATAATTGGTCCTTTATAACAGGGGGTTTTCCTATTTAGTCCTCTATTATCAAATATTACTCTAGTGGTACCTTTCCACAAATAGTCCTTTTTTGATCTTCTATCATGTTGGTGTTAATTTGAGGGCTAAAAGTGTAATTTTACAATCATAATATATCTTTTTTGTCATACACAATTTCAAAGGCTGTTCCGTTTGCGTCGTTTGTGAATTACAGTCGCTTTTTACGACAACTATAGTCTACAAATGTGATCTTTCGTCAGAATCATAGCCCACAATCATAGTCATTTTTTTGTGCTATCTGTTTAACCAATATCAGAACACGGAAAAAAATTTGTTGCTCTCCTTAAAATAAGTTTCAAGCATCTAGATCTGTTAGCGTATATTATGTATATATTAGTTTATGTATATTATTTTGTAAGATCTCCCTCCGTTTTCTAGGGTTTCTCTCCCTGTTTTCAGGGTTTCAATTCGCCGTCTTCTTTTGGCCAATTTTGCTGCTGTTTCTCGTCCTCTGTAGATTCATGGAAGGAAGAGACGTCGATCGATTGAATATCGGGGTAACACAACTTGATTTGGATGAAGAACAAGAGGGGCTTTCGTTTCTTCCTAACGGTGGGGCGCCGACTACTGAAATTAGCTTGCACACTTGGACGATTGATGGTCGATTTCTCACAGATAAGGTTATCAAGTTTGACATAATGCAAAGGGTTATGGCTGCCGCTTGGAAACTAGCGTTAGGGGTGCGAATTGTGCAAAAGGATGATAACCTATATCTCTTTCACTTCTTCCATATGAAAGATGCGACCCGAATCATTGAAGAGGGTCCATGGTCATTTGATAATGCAACATTAGTGATGAAACTCCTTAGTCCAGGGGAGGTTGTCGAGGCAAAGGACCTGAACTTGGTTCAGATGTGGGTGCAAATTTATGACCTTCCAGATGGGTATACTTCGCTGGAAATTTTAGAGGCGGTGGGTAAGTTTGTTGGTAATTTTGTTAAACATGACACTAGTCCTTCCATACATCGTTCGTATTTTCGGGTGAGAGTCTCCATTGATGTGAAGAAACCCTTACGTAGGAGGATGAAACTGACTAAGAGAGATTGTGGTGTAGTTTGGGTGAACTTTAAATATGAACGTTTGAATGGTTTTTGTTTTTACTGTGGAATAATGGGCCATATAGCGAAACATTGTCGTGATGCGGTATTATCATATTTGGAACCAGGGGAATACCCTTTTGATGCATCTCTCCGGGCAGGGGGGAGGAAAAAGGATACTAGTTATGGTCTACAATGGTTGCGCTTTGACAATCCTTTATTGGGGGAAGGTGCAGGATCTTCGGTGTTGGCTGCTACAAAGAGTAACTCACATGACGAGGATGGCTTGGAAATTGCCTCAAAACGAAAAAGGGGCTTGGATGACGTGATTGTGGTTCCTTCGAGGGTGGATACAACCATGACAGATTTCCCAAAAAACGTGCAGGCGGCAGGTTATGGGTTCCAGGCCCGCCGAGAGCAATGAGTATCATTAGTTGGAACTGCCGCGGGCTGGGTAACCTGCGGACAGTTCAGGAAGTGGCGGAGCTCGTCTTCGCGTAAAAGCCTGATTTTGTTTTTATAATGGAAACTAAAGGTGCTCGTGATAAGGCCGAAGTTCTTCGTGCTAAGATTGGTTTTGAGGGATTGTTTGCGGTGGATAGTGTTGGTGCAAGTGGTGGTTTGGCGTTACTCTGGAGGTCAAACCGCTCGGCTAATCTCATTAGTTACTCACGGTTTCATGTTGATGTTATGGTCTCTTTGGGAGGTGCTCTCCCTTGGAGGCTCACTGGATTTTATGGGAATCCTAGAAGAGACCTTCGATAAACCTCGTGGGATCTCCTTCGCTCATTAAAGGTCAGATCTTCCTTACCGTGGGTGGCCATCGGTGATTTCAATGCTGTATGTGCTTCTTTTGAGAAGAGGGGG